AATTTTTAGTTTCCAAATTTCTTTTGTTATTGGTATTTTTATGTTATTTTTCTGTATGTGCGTTTCAATGCCAGTTGGTGTCGAGTTGTGGCTCAATTAAGGAATGAAAATACAGTTGTAGTAACCTGGTTCCTTGTTGGCTTTGCTTACTTAAACGAGAGTTGGAAGGTATTTTCATTAGAGAATATTTCTCTTATTCTAGTTGCTTTATTTAGATTCATCTCTCATTTTCGTTTTCCCGTTCTCGTTAAAGTGTTTACTAATTGTGATGAATCGGATTAATAAATTCATTCTATAAAAACGAAAAAACGATTTTGCATGCTTGGGCATGCACATAACTTCATATATTAGTTTTTGAATTAGAGAGATGAGATTCGAATTTTTTACCACTTCCAAATAGTTGTATGGAGTAATGTAACACTTAAGAGTTAGACCACCAAGCAGGACGGGTTTGAATAGTTTGATGGGAGCATGATTCATGGTTGTCGGTTGACACATTTTTGAGGGATTGAAATCTGTCCCACAGTTGCATTGTTTCTCGTGAGTAGAAAAAATAATTTAGATACCATGTGCGGCTCATGAAATTTTGAACCCTAGTGTGAGAGATTGTACATACTACTTATTAATACGCAAGAACAATTAATGCAAATAGAATATGATAATTCTACTTATTCTAGCTAATTAACTATAATATTATTGTTGTTGAGGAGGCTGAGAAGATCAAACCAACAAGGATTTATTCGTTGATAAGCTGATCTGGGCCACGTTCTTGGGCTCTACAGACCACAAATTATCGATTAATTTATGATATATTTACTAATCCATAATTGGAATCAAAATAAAGAGTTGGATTTCGATTACGGATTACTCCTGTGTTTACTTCACATGGAGAAATGAAAATGCAAAATCAGGAATTTAACTTTCGATTTTGGAGGAATTGGACTCTTAGATGGGAGGTGTTATTCTAATTCCTGAAGAACTAACTCATCAAGAATCTATCTTTTTTATCAATTATATCCTCACACAATTTTTAAAATTCCAAATTTGTCATATACTTTAACACAACAACAAAGACATTTTAGTAATTAAACTAATTTCAATTCCGATTAATGAGAATTTAGTAAACAATTTATAAGGAATCAATACTACTCCTACACCAATTCCATATGATTTAGTAAACAACATCAATGGAAATCCAAATTCTAACTCTCCTCAATCCAACTCCTCTTCAATTCAATTCCTTCTACATATAAATATACCTTGTTTGACTTAATTGTTTCTTTCCCACTTGACCTAGATTCTAAATTGGTCTAAGCACGTGCTCATACTCTCATAGTCAACAGTAGAGAGTTTTATTTTTTATTTTTAAAATCTGATAACAGTAGATAATTTATCTAAAGAATTAAACAAAACTGAAAAAAAGGAACAAAAATTATAAAGAAAGAGCATAGTAATGCAGCTGGCTCTGGTTTAGTGACTTATGTCAGGTCACGGCCAAGAAACCAATATGTAAATCCATGCAGACGACACAGATCAATAAAATAAATAAAATATCAATTCATTGAGTTGTTCATCAATATTCTTGCTTGTAAATGCAGAATGCACATCATTATGGCTCAACTTTTCCAAAGATCATCCCCAGACTAAGACATTACAAGGAATTCAAAATCTGAAACCATAAAAAGAATCTGCTTCTTGTGCTCAGCGCAACACTTCTTCTGAAGACAAGTTCACAACAAGAAGCGTTGTCTCTATATTAGTGATGCGATGTTGTTCATGAACTACAAGCCGGCTGTCTTAATTCTGGTGAACAAACCACCTCACCTTCTATACAAAAATGAGCCCACCACAATAGAACCATGCTTCCTGGTACTCAGAGCAGAAAACCGCCCTCGGTGATGATGTACGCTCTGAAACAAAGGCACCAGAAAATGTATGGCAAAATTTAGCAACCAATGTTCAGACCAGAGCTCTTAATTCAGAGAGGAACTCAAAACAGGAAGGGGAAAAAAAAGAAACAAAAAATGAAATTCAGCCTTACCAATAACCGACCTCCTGAGCTGTTGATTTGAGGTTAGTTGAGCTCTAAGATGATCAAACGAACTATCTGCCCCAAATACCGGAATGACTTCGTTGTTTCTCTTAAGCATTTGTTTTTGTCATCTCGAGTCCAGTGCTTTAATCACAAAACAAAAATTTCCAAAAGTTTTAAGTATTAAGAAGAAGTAACCCAATTAAGAACTCAAGCACAGTGAGAACAAATGGCATCTCAGGAATTTACCTCTCCAAGCTTGTTGAGCTTCTCACGAAAACCTTTCATTAACTCTTGTGCATCCCCTTCCCATGTGTAAAATCCCAACTCCCTTCCTTCCAGGAGCTTCTCAGATACCTTAAAATTACCAATTCCAGTATCCAAATAAAAATATTTATTAGTCAGTTCATTTGGTCCTAGCAAAAAACAAGAAAAAACTTCATCTTTTCCACATACAAATCCCATGGTTTAAGGAAATGGGCTCAAACTAGACAATGACTTGAGCAACACCACCTCAGATTTCAGAACAATTAATATAAAGTTGAAGACTTTGAAGTGGTGAAGAGTTAAAATACTAAAAACTCAAAAAAGTACCAACCTGTCTTGCAATGACCTGACCACCAGCTATATGTGAAAAGTAGATGTTGTAGAAATGGCAGAGGAACAATGGAGCAGAATTGTCTGCAAGCTCCTCCAAATACTTGGCATAAGAAACTCCTGGACTACTGGGTTCTGGAATCACCATACCCTGTTGTTTAAACCACTCAAGATCTTCAGAAAGACCCTCTGACCTTTCCAATCCAGTCTTCCTGAAATAGGCATCTACAATTGAAAAACACACAATTCCCTTTTAAAAAGACGATAACTTTATGAAGATGAAATCAATCAAATACACAAAAGAAAGAGACTGACAAGCGACGTCGTTTGACTCATCCACAATGCGCTCGACGGTGTCAAAGACGAGCTTGCTGTCCACCAAGTACTTGAGGAACCCTTCCACACTGGGCCGCCAAGTCTCCGCCTCACCCCCATCACCATCAACATCTGATTCTGAACTATTGTTATCTTCGGGGGCATAATCGTCATTATCACCGTCATCGTCGTCGTCTTCCTCAGACTGAGTGTCGTCGTCGTTCAATTTCTTGCCGTTGATGTTACGGAGCCTCATAGCGACGAACCTCATCTCCTCAGTGATGCCTTTGCTTTCTCCCGGGTACTGCTTCCTGTACCTCATCCTCCTCCTTACCACCGGCGGCGCTGTACCGGTGCTAGCCGTCGAAATTGGCGGCGGAGGCGTAGACATGGAGGCGGGGGTGCTCGAACCAGAGCAACAGAGAGGCAGGGCTCGACGACCGTTTCTCGTTAAAATTGTTGAGGGCTTCAACGAATGAAGCGGTGAAAAGACGGCGTAAGCCATTGATGCTGAGACCGATTTCACCATTAACGACATCGTTGCACGCATTGCGTTGCAGAATGCAGAGTTCGTTTTATGAGTGTCACAGACACAGACTCACCTTTTTTATTTAATTTAATTATTTTTAATAAATATTATAGCCGCGCGGCTATACTCGGGCCTCCTTTTTCCCCCCCTTCTTTTTTTCGTTTATCCATAAGAATAGTTTAGGGTATTATCCATTACTATTAGGCCATTACCCGAGTCTCTATTATCCCCTTTTGATTTTTTACTTTTTTAGAGTTATTACTCGTATAAAAAATTTAGCATTTTTCTATTTAATACTTGTATTATACACGTACGTATATATATTTTTAATAATACTTTTGTTTTCCGTACATGCCTTAAAGACTCTTTAAAATACACATATTTTAAGATGCAAATATACAATACACGTATTGTACACGTACCTAATATATATAAACTCTTGCAAACCACAGTTAAAACATTTCTTTCTTTTTTAAATGTTTGGTGCTTAAATATATATGATCCACCAAATTATCCCAAAGGACTCTACTTTGAAAAAAAATAATTATCTGACTTGTTTTTATAAATTCTATTGCCTTTTGAGTACCAACTTCTTCTTTTTTCACTGTTTGAGCACAACAGTGAATTTGTTCCCCTTGCGTTCGAATTTCATCCATCTTTCCATAAATTATAGTAACTTCGAGTAATTTACAATAAAAATTGTTCACTAGTATAACAATTTGAGAGTACATACATGACGATACAACATCTTTGTCATGAAGCTAGCTACTCTACAAAGTATATTAACAATGTAAAATGAGTACACAAAGAATAATGGTTAAAGATTGACAACTTGTGAGGGTGGGGATTCTGGATGATAATGTACAAAAGAATCCGCCCTATCTGCTTCTGTTGGATGACAATTGACAATTCTAGTGTACATAAACAACTCCGCTAATTGATCAAAGCGGGTTAGAATAGTTTCTGATATACAGAATGCCTGGCTAACTCTCACATGTCAAAAATATGCTTTTGGTTCCGTTTCCACCAAGGTGTGACTCGATGTGACTCAGTGCGACTCGGTGTGGCGACACCTGACCAGACCCACATTCATACAAAAAAACACCGGCAAGGTCTGGTTTCGGTATTTGGATGATTCTTGAACACAATTTCTGAGGCATGCTTTCTTTACACTATTGTCTCTTGTATTTGGCTTTCAGCTTCCACAAGAACCCTAGTATCTCTGTATATGAGGGATCAGTGCGGCTGAGTGGTTTGCAAGAGTTTATATGATCCGTTGAGTCTAATACCTGTTCCAAAATTACAAAATTAACGACAAAAATGGAACAGACATGTAGAATATGGAACAGTTACTGTTGGAAGAAAGTTAGTCTATACACCTAAACTAATCTCATTCATGGTTGACCAAAAAAAAAAAAAAAAAAAATCTCATTCATGTCTCATTTCAATGCTTTAGCTCGTTATAAATAATTTTTTGGAAAATGATCTCAACTTTTTTGAAGTGATTTATAGTTGTCCACAATCATACTTACAACGAGTTCACCGAATCCGGGATATGCTGATTCAATTGGTACAATTTCCATTCGGAAGGCCCATCCTCCATAACCTTCAACAATTGGAGTTACCTTGGTCTGCAAAAAGAGTTACTGCCTAATTATCAAGCTCACAAAGACACACATTGACACAAAGAACAGCTACATTACTTTGGACTACCTCACAGAAACTGAGGACATCAAGCAGCCCCTTCTTGTGAAGGTGGCGGATAAAGTCATTAAGCTCTACTAATCTTGGAGACCCACTTCTTAGCTCTCCTATCTGAGAAACATCAACAAGTAATTAACATTAATATGATAAGAATTGCTGGTTGTAAATATTGAGAACCAACGATTTGGTTAAAACTTCTTGGTTGTAAAGATCATGTACTAACAGTTGGTGCTGGACGAAACACCAGTCCCATCCTCCAAGGCATGTCTGCAAGTTTGCTTCCAAAATGTGGACAGCTATAGAAAACCTGAAACCAGCATAAAACACCAGAGTTATTATATAAAAATGATAGTTAATAGGCGAGAAAAGAAATGCAGTGTAAGTGAAATATTTAATTATAGAGTGTCACTTACAACTCCTTTGGTGTTTTTCACAAGGTTATCGAGATTATCTGATTTTGCTTTGTGCAGCATCTGCTTAACAACCAGACCTCCCATGCTGCAAAGAAGAGAAAGCTGGTACATTATTGCATTAAAATATAAAACTACCTATAAAATAAATTCTCTAAAAACTTAGTAATAAAAAAGATGCTGTGAACTATAAACAAACTTCAAGTCATGTTTCCTCCATACCCTTTTTAACAAAAAATCAAAAATCAAAACCCGATACCTGCTCAACTTTTGACCACCTTGTATAATCAACTCATGAAACTCATAGCTAGAGAATAAATGCCAGTTCAAAATCCCAACCCCTTGCGAATAGCTACCATAAAATAACTGATCCCAGCCCCATTACATACATAGTATGGCAAACAAATAATAGAATAAATTGGAGAACATCTTGAAGGATGAACTGCCGACGCCTATCTGAAAGTAAGACCGAGCACATAGTAGAGCATGCCAAAATAAAGAATAATATTGTGTTATTTACTGCAATAAACTTCGAAGGGGAGAAAAGGAAGACAATTCTAAAAGATTATATCCTTGGATTGTAAGACACTGTAGCATGCATAACCACATTTGGTGTTTGCCGGAAAGCTTATTTAAAATTAAAATATTTCCTGCAGCACCTGCTTCTTTTAGTTTTCATTTTTTTGGGGATATCGGAAAACTTTATAACAGCACACAAGACCTCTCAGACATCCTTAAATCAGTCAAAGGCCAGAACCCAAAACTGAAAAGAAGATGCAACAGATGCAAGAAAAGACGAGTATCATCTAAACACACGAAAGAGAACCACATACAAAACTTAAAAAATATGATGACTAATGTATGAGAAAACCAAAATTGACACACAAGCAGCTACAGGTTCATGCACGCACAAGCAACACTTTACAGACCTGTGAGTCACGAAAACAACAGGGCGATTCCCAATACCTGCAGAAACAAGCTTCTCTAACAGCATTGAGCTAACTTCCTGCACAATTTAAAAACAAAACATGATAATGGGAAATTGCAAAAAGTGAATAACATCTACACCAGTTGATTACTATTGTTGACCCATCCATATATGATTGCCCAAAATTAACTTGTAGCATAAAACCATACAAATGAATAAACTCCTTAACTCCTAGGAATGAACAGAATGCCATCAACACCTTATAGAAATCCTCAATTGTCAGCCAAAAGCACTGACCTGAAGAGGCAGGCTAGCGCCAGACCATTGTGTTAGATTTGTCTGCATAAAACATTCAAACTAAGAGTTAGATGCCAATGAGGGGGCCAGCCTACAAAAGAAACAAAAACCATTGGACCTTCCAAGGGATGGGATGAAGTGTATGGAGAGGCAACCAGTCATTTTAAATTCTTAGAAAACAAAACATTTTATACAACTATCACCAGAACAAACCTTGTACTTAAGGCTAAACATACGCGCTTGAGGGAAGTCAGCTGAAAGCCATTCACCTGGCCAGAATGTTCCAAGCTTTCCTGCTTCCTGATCAATCTTCTCTACTAAGCCAGATTTAGTGGATGACTTATCCTCGGAGATGCGCCAAGTCTTATATGGCCCTCCACGGAGACCATGGACAAAAACGACATCCAGAAGAGGAGGTTCCCTTGTGCCTGCGCCACTGTGAGATGCATCCACAGAACTGGATATGTTAACATCATTTGAAAATCTGGGGACAGACCTATCCTCACCGTCAAGAGAACTAGCTTCATCCGAAGAGGATGCATCCATTTGAACAGTGTGTTGATCGTTATTTTCAGGACAAGTCCAATGGGGTAGTTCAGGATTAATTAAAAATATCATGTCATCATACCGGGGACAATTTTTGTTTCCATTTGCAATACCAGAATCAGGAATGTCATCATTTGCAGAATCTCTATTAATTTGGCGACCGCAAAATAAATTTATAAGTGTTGCTCTAGCATAACTTTGTGTTTTGAGATCACTGCAACCTGAGATCCCACCGTTAGCACAATCCTCAAGCCATTTACACCAAGTTTCATCTGCTATGATGATTTTCTGGACTTTCGGAAGTTGAGAGAGGATAGTTAACAACCTTGCTGCATGCCTGCGGATGTGAGCTGTAGGTGGAACCCGGACACTAGATGGATCATTACTTTCTGAAATAGATGATTCTCCAGGTACATTTGAGGGTCGCTCTTGTGCCTCAAGCGTCTTAGAAGCATCATACACTTCTATGGCAGCAAGTTTCTCATAATCATCACGTAACAAAAACCGTCTCAACAAACATAAAACCCCAAAATCTGTTATTTTCTCCTGATATAAAGAATCATCAGCACAAACTTCAGTCAGTGCTTTGATTCCCTTCAGGGTTGCCATTGCAGAATCTGCCACATTAACCTTAGGCACACTATCTTTCTTTAGAGTTTTAAATGTCCCAGAAAAAGGTTCCGTGGAAAGAAGATCTGCCAGTGGAAATGTATCAACAGAATTGGTGGTTGTTCCAAGCGCATTTCCTGCTAGATTAACAACAGCTGCCACTAACTGGTTAGTACTCTGCGCAGCGGAAAGCATGTTCGCCTGATCAATTTGAGTCTGCAAAAGTTATTTAGCCTCAGGAATTGTGGAAAAGAAATTAATGTCAACTGAACATTCTAAACGCAACTACAAGAAAGATATTAGACTTGGAATGGTGTAAGGATAAAGAAAAATTGGATACAACATTCTAAAAGGTACAAAAGAATAATGGGAAAGGGAAAAAAGTATCCTGACCTTCACTTTGACAGAACTAGGCTGAGTGGTTCCTTTAGTTGATGATGCCTTTTTGGAAGCCATAATTTCTGTAAGCAGAATAGCTAACCATCCTTGAGAAATTGGTACAGAATATGGTCCATTGTCTTCGAGAATGCGAGAAAGGATTCTTATAGCTGACAAACGTATAGCGTCAGAGGAAGATTTTCCAAAAACCCAAGGTAGCAATACAGCAGACCACCTGTGACCCTCTTCAAGAGGTAAATTCAAGTCCCCAGTACAAAGCAATTCCAATGCTTTTGCTAATGTTTCTTGCACATGATTATGCTTCATAGTTCGCTTAGCAGTGTCTCTCAATGGATGAAGACCCTTTTCCATAACTATCTTTTGTGCTCCCGGGCTTTTCTCAACAGAAACCAAGAATGCTGACAAAGCCACCCGAGCCAAAGGAATGTCTTCATTTTTAGTTGCCTGAGATGCAGTAGAAAGAAGACTGGAACTCCAATCAGAAACAGAATCACTCAAAGGTATATTCTGATCCTCTAATAGCAAGCGAGCCACCAAACTCCCATGCCATTTTACTGATCTCTCAGGCGCCATTAAAGCAGTCATGACAGCTTGCCCATCTGCATCCAATTCCTGTATGCGTGATCTATTCACATCTGATGCCATCGCCCAGTTAGCCAATGCCCATGCAGCAAAAGGAACAGCAACATGTTGACAATTCAAATCATCCCAGAGCCCAGGAACAACAGCAGAAGACAAATTGCTTTGTGCTAGTGAACTGTCATGCTTATTTTGCAGGACAAGACTTTGTGTAGTAAGCCTTGTTAATCCCAAATCACTAGTATCAGAACTCCCCAGCTTCACAACGGGATGTGTTCTTGATAGGCCTAAAACTGATGTACCCCCAAGAACCTTAATACCAATCCCCTTTATTCCACTGTCACCGTCTTCATCATCTTCATTTTCATGTGACTCATCCAAACGCATGCCACCGTCTTCAATAACTTCAATGGCAGCTGCTATATCCCGTGTTTCAGCATTCCCTGACAGGGATGGCTTAAAAGACACCTTTTCTATACTATCACAGTTGGATGTGACGATATCCATAATGGCAGCTACAAGCATGCTCCTGCCTTTCAAATTTTCAGAAACATCGAGTGAACTATGTCTTGAACGCTGCTCCCATAGAAATTCCATTGGTTAAGGGTAAAACAAGACCAAATGCATCAACAAACTCAGTTGTGAAGCTTGAATGATGTTAAAAGAAAAATAAATAAAAATCATAGCCATACTCATTGGAATTGCCTCAGAGCATATTTATATCTAAAGCATACGAATTGTCTTTATCACCATGAAAACAAACTCAATGGAAAAAACGCAAATGCTAAAATCAAAGCCTTATAGGTTCAGTTGTGAAGCTCGAATGATGGTAAAAGGAAGATTGCCTCAGAGCAAGTTTCTATCTAAAGCATACGAATTGTCTCTATCACCTTGAAAACAAACTCAATGGCAAAAACGCAAACGCTAAAATCAACGCCTTAGAGGTTCAGTGCGAATTTTCCCTAATCCCAATAATTCAACTCTCCAATATTCAGTTAATTGATTGCCTAATCGATTGTCCATAACTTACAAATGAAATTCCAGAGACGAACCGAGAAAGCTCACCTTTTTAGACGGCTGAGGCTGGCACGAGAAAATGAACCTCAAGAGATTAGGAACAGCGCCAGGCCTGCCGAGCACGGCTGGGGACACATTAGGATCGGCGATCAAGAAGGCGAGAGCCCTGGCCGACTCGACCTGGGTCCCATACCCATCTCTAGGGACCGCCACCGACTCGAGCAGCCAATCAACAACGGCGCCACCTCCAGCCCCAACAATGGCGGCCCTGCGGCTGGCATTGGCAGCGGCGATGTCCGCAAGGAGAGCTGCAACACGAAGCTCGAAGCCAGAGCGGACCTCGTGGTTGGCAGAGGACAAGACGGAGCTGAGAGAGTGCCAGAGGACGGAGGCGGCGACGCCCGTCTGTTTGGCGTGATGGAGAAGTCTTCTGAAGGACTCGGTGGATTTGAGGACGGCGTGTCGGACGCTGTCGTAGAGAGGGTTGTACGGCTTGTCGTCGGAGTCGGTGGCGACGAGGACGTACGAGGCGATCAGGGCGGAGGCAAATGTGGCGGAGAGGGCAATGGCGGCGGTGCGAGGGAGAGTTGAGGCGTTGGGGAGAGGAGAGAGAGGGTTTAAGCGGCGGTGGAGGATTGGCAGTGGCTGTGTGACTTGATTGGAATTTTGGAGATTGTTGAGGGGTTCGTTGGGGTTTCCGGAAGCGGAAGAGGAAAATGAAGGGCCGTGATTATGGCGACGACGGTGATGAGGGAAGAGGTAGTGGCAGTAGCGACGGGTTCTGTAACAGAGGCGGAGGATCATTTTGGAATTGTGGATTGGGGATTCCGGGGAATGATAGGTCTGTTTGGGGGAAAAGAAAATCAAGAGAAAAAGGGATTGAAGAGAAGAGTGAAGTTGGGAGGAGGGAGGCTTTCCATGGCGGGAGGAAATTTGGCGATTTATACGGGAAGTGTGAGTATAAAAAAGGAGTTGGGAGACGGTAAGAAGGGTCTACAAATGACGAATTTCTTGTGGGATATGCGAACCTCTACCTTAATTAACGGTATGGGCCTCAAAATCAGGCCTGAAAATCAGGCCTCAAAATTGGGCCTGGTCTAGGCCCAGCCCAGTTGGGTGAAGAACCTGTGCCCCTTGGGGGCTGCTAGATGGAGCCTGGCCTGGTTTATAGTCCCCAAGTAATTGAATGTTGGAAACAGAGAGAGAGAGAGAGAGAGAGAGAGAGAGAGAGAGAGGCGGGGAATTTTCTATATCTTTACTGGCAGAAGAATGGTACAAATTACTTGGGTGCATGAAAAATCTCTAGTGTTGAAACAAATTACCTGAAAAGTTTTCTGACGTATGCATCAAACCATTTGCGGTTCAAGTAAGCTTGAATGACCAAGTCATATTAAAATTGGATAAGTTCTGTTGCAGATTACATGTTTCATATTTATGTGTAACAAGAAGTTGTGAGACATGGCGATCAATGGGTCAAGCTGATTGTTGAATTGGCTTTTGGCATATATATGACCAAATGGTCTAGTCAGATTGTATTTCTATCTTTTTTGTGTGCTGTTGAATGAATAAAAAGAGGCGGCACGATTCAATGATTATTTCCCCCGCCGGATACAGAACAGTCCAAATTCGAAATCACAATCTATAATTTTTTAATATATGATTAAATTAATTCGTTGAATTTCGCTTCTGTTTCATGTTTATCCATTATTTTATTAATTTAATGGTCCCAAATCACCCCAGGTCAATATCTCATGCAGGAAGAACTCTTCATAATACGCAAGAGCCTCAAGGATATAAGAGTTTTAATTTTCTTGTGTTACACATGCCTATATACAAAATATGATTATAACTAAATTAATTATGATTAACACAGTTGAATAGCTGAGCTGACGGATCATCATCTTCAACGTTATGGGCTTCTGTTGTTTCCTGGAAAATGCGTAATTATGCACCAGCAAGTCAAGTATTAGAGGCTATAAATAGCAACGCTAAATCTCTCAAAATGGGAACACAGAACCAACCCAAGAACTCTCTAGCTACTTATTCTTTGATTTGTTCTCTTAAGTCTTCTCATTAGCCTACAACACAGAACCAACCCAAGAACTCTCTAGCTACTTATTCTTTGATTTGTTCTCTTAAGTCTTCTCATTAGCCTACAAAGTTCATCCATCAGAAACCTCTCTTTCTCTCTCTCTCTCTCATCTCAATGGAAAGAACCGACAGTATCGTAGTTCCCCCAAGATATGGAAAGATGATCACAATTCTCAGCATCGATGGCGGCGGCATAAGAGGGCTTATCCCCGCAACCATCCTCTCTTTCCTCGAATCCGAACTTCAGGTATTATATAGTCTTCATTTTTTAGGTTTAGTGTCACTTCTCTTCAGTTTGTTCGAAGAGGTCTAAAATTCGAATCTCTTTTCCTCTAATTTATATTAATGTTTTTGATGTTTTGCAGAAGCTGGACGGTGAGGATGCAAGAATCGCCGACTACTTTGATGTGGTTGCAGGAACAAGCACAGGTGGTCTTGTGACGGCCATGCTCACAACCCCAAATGAGAAAGACCGCCCACTGTTTTCTGCCAAAGATATTAGCGACTTTTACATGAATCACTGCCCTAAAATCTTCCCCCAAAAGAAGTACGTACTAATCCATAATTAATAAATATGTGGATATATATTTTTCACAGTATAAATAACTTTTGCTTCAATGTTTTGGACGACAGGTTTCCTTTGTTTCGTTATACTAGAAAGATCATCAAAGCTCTGACAGGACCAAAATACGATGGCAAGTATCTACATGGCTTGATTAGGCAAAAACTGGGCGACAAAAAGATGCACCAAACATTGACTAATGTTGTCATTCCCACATTTGACATCAAGAATCTCCAGCCCACTGTCTTCTCCAGCTTTAGGGTACTTCATCACTTCTTCATCATGTCTAATTATAAATAATTAAGAAAATTACCTATATAATAATCTAACATGTGCTCTATTTGGTTGACCAGGTAAGGCATAAGCCAAGCTATGATGCCTTGCTCTCTGACGTATGCATTGGAACCTCAGCAGCACCAACTTTTCTTCCAGCTCATTATTTTGAAACCAAGGACGAATTTGGACAAACTAGAGAATTTAACCTCATAGATGGTGGCATAGCTGCAAATAATCCAGTGCGTATTATAATTAAATGATCCATTAATATTAGTATTAATGTACTAATAGTAATAGAGTATCCTCTTCTCATATTATCATACTGTTAATTTGAACCATTTTGAATGTGAAGTTCAGATTTGTAGTCTAACAACGCAACATATACAAACGAGTAATTAAATAGTATGGAAAGAGAATATTTTACTATATATATGTAAGGTCCAGTAAACTTGATGTTAAACACTTTTGCTTGCCCTTGCAGACTTTACTTGCTATTTGTGAAGTATCAAACGAAATAAAGAAGGCGAATCCGGACTTCTTTCCTGTGAAACCAGTGGACTATGGACGATTTCTGGTGATATCATTAGGAACTGGCACATCAAAAGCTGAAGTGAAATACAATGCACATACTGCAGCCAAATGGGGCCTCTTGAACTGGTTAACCAGCGGTGGCTCCACCCCAATCATCAATGTGTTCAGTCAAGCAAGTGCAGATATGGTTGATCTTCACCTTTCTGGAGTTTTCCAAGCCCTCCACTCAGAGGATTACTATCTTCGAATTCAGGTACTCTTTAATGAAAAAGAAAAACATCTTATTTAAGGATGGTAATCTAATTTCTTATGATAATTAGATTAGGGTTACATATTTATATTGACTTGTATGTGTACGCAGGACGACACGCTTCGTGGGACGGTGTCTTCTGTGGATGTAGCCACAAAGAAGAACTTGTCCCGTCTTGTCACAGTTGGAGAAGGCCTATTGAAAGAACGAGTTTCCAGGGTTAATTTGGACAGTGGCAGGTTTGAGGCTTCTGATCGTGAGACAAATGAAGAGGCTCTTAGAAGGTATATATATATATATATATATATATATCACACAGTCCACATGCATGATATATATAGACATAGTAATTAATTAATGGAAAGGTTTAACTTTAACTTAATTATAATTTGCAGGGTTGCAAAACTGCTCTCTGAGGAGAGGCGTCTTCGCCAAGAAACGTTGAATGATGGGCTTGCTTCAAGCTCCCACTGATATATATTACCCTATGATCGATCCAATTCCAAGTATATAAACAACTATTGATTCTTTCATTTAGAATCGTTTGGAAAATTGTAAAATGTTGTAAGGTCAAGTGTATGGGGGCTAAATGATCCCATCATACCTTGATCCCTTCTTTTAATATTGTGTGTGTTTGAATAAATCCCTGGTGGGATATCAATGTAGATAGATGTATACATATACATTCTTTCTTTCAAATTCTTTTGGTTGTGGAACATCAATAAAAACATTTTATTTTCGTATTATTGTTATTATCTCTACACCATCCTTAATTATAATCGTTCAAAGTATATAAATAAAGGAATAAAGAGTTTGTAATTTACGTAGTTAAGAATAGTTATCCATACACCCACCAATGTCCTGTATTCGAATCTTCGCTACTAGTTAATTTTTTTTTTTTTTTGGGTCCAAAAATCTTCCCTCCCCATTATAATTTGTATAATAAATTTTTTTTTAATTTTTAAAAAGGGAGTTGTAAGATGATATATGAAGAGTCTACACCAATGTCCTGTGTTGAATGATAAAGGGTTCGGACTTGGGATGAGAATTTTCTTAGTCAAAGTCCTGTGCATGGTAGTTTCCAGCGCAGTAATCTTGGTCCAATTAACTCAACACAAAGTTATCGAAACAAAATTGTTCACATATTTTTAGAAGTTTTTTCGAATAATTAATAAAGAAGGTTTAAAGACTACTTGAGGAGCGTTCATAAATTTTTTTTTATAAAAAAAACCAACATGAGGAGATCAAGGAGGGTGAAATTGGAATTACATGTATATATATGAGTTAAGTTTTGGGTTAACATCAAACGCTCGTATTTAGGGAATGATGATTTGACTATCAATAACAAAACAAGTTATACTAATCGTTGATAGAAATTAAGCTATTAATGTTGAAACAAATAATAATTTCGAAAGTTCTGTTAACCTAAGTTATAACCCAGAACAATCTAGGGCAAGGATGATGTGGCATTGTCTTCTTCATCAAGCTGAGGGAGGAGGATCATTTCTTCACGAATTAATCTCTTCGCTTGATCGGTGCTTTTTCTGGAGTTTAATATTATTCAGTGGTAAAATATGGCGGCATGACAGAAACAGAAAGTTTATGTAAAATCCCATGAGGGTTACAACAACCTATAAATTAATACTCATTTTCTGGACGTTTCATTCATCATTTATACTCTATTCTTGGCGATTAGCTAACCGTACACGGTAGCATGCAATCTTATCTCCAAAACAAAAACTCTTCAAAAGTTCAAAAAGTAAGAAACATTCTCATATATTACGTACTCAACTTTCATTTTGGTCAATTTAGTTTGTCATGATTTAACCCTATGTATTTTACTAATGCACTTTCCCATATTTTTCATGAAAATTGAATGTGAAAGGCATGTTTTGGTGTTTTTACAACCCAAGAAGTACTGCAATTTACCCTCATATATGTCACTCGTGAGCTAATTGGGTAAATAAAATTTGACAAAATTAAGTCATTGTGTATGAATTGTAACAATTAGTGAACTACATGTAAAATCACGACAACTGAAAGTACGCATATGGACTAATTACTTCCCTCAAGCTCAAGGGTGGATCCATGCTTGGGTTAGAGTGGGCTACTCTAACCTAGTGTTGACTTTGGAGAGAGACAAATTAGGTTTAGTTGTGTAAGCTCAATTCAGAAAAATTAATTAATAGCCCATCACTTTTTCTAGAAAGCAGCCCACATCTACAACCAAATACTTTTAATACTTCAATTACTAATTTCTCTCTCTCTCTCTCTCTCTCTCTCTCTCTCTCTCTCTCTCTCTCTCCCCTCTTTGGTTTATTCAGCTTTTGATTTGGCTCAAATAACGTTTATATATATATCTCTCTCTCTTTTTTTTTTTTTTTTTGGAATTTATTGATGTTGCTTCTTTTGGAAATATTGAAATATGGACCCTTCTTAACTAAACCACTTTGCTGACCCAAAGTCCTTGAACTTCAAATTGTTCTTTGTCTAAACCACTCCGCTAGCTGAAATAATGTTTAATGAATTCTGAAAATAGTTTTTAATATGAAGGAAATATACAAGATTAGTGAAAAAGTATACTACTCTCATTAATATGAAGGAAATATTGCTTTTGATATATATATTTGTTTAAAAATAGGGCTTATAATTGATCCCAACAAAAAAGAAAAAGAAAAGATCACCCTTGTAAATATTCCTGGGTCCGCCATTGCTCAAGCTACATGGACTAAAATCATAACTCCTTTCGGCAATCTTATTTATCATCATCACTTACTCTCATTTGGGTGTAACACCCCGATCCCAAATTTAATTACTCAATTGAATTATTTAAATGAAATTACGAATTTACCCTTGGGGTAGGGGTAATTTGGTCATTTCCTTATCCGGAGGACGAGTGATTTGGTTGCGTAGGTGGTACCGAGATGAGTCCATAGACACGTAGTGGGCTCGAATTGGAGTTGTAACGAGAGAGATACGATCAAAATACCATAAGTAGCATAACCGTAATTTTAGCGAAAAAGAGTTTGATAAAAATCTGGTTCTCTCTCTTTCTCTCTCTCTCTCTCTCTCTCTCTCTCTCTCTCCCCTCCGGCGCTCTCTCTCTCCTCTGTCGCGAAAACCCCCCTCCCGACTGTAGCAGCCGCGCGTTTCGCAGGCTGCCACCACCACGTCCTTCCCCACTGGCTTTGACGCCAGCCGGCAGAGATGACATGACCCGCCCCGAATTTCCCGGAACCCGAGACGAACCCTGCGGAGACCCCGACATCACACTCACGCCGGGTTCACTCCTTCAAACTATGTCATCTTTTACCAGAAATGATTTAGGGCACGAGACTTTCTGCCGAAATTTCGTGACAAGACCCGTCCAGAAATTCCTCGGAATCTGGGACGGACCCCGCCTAATTACCGACATCATCCCGATGTCGGGCCCACTTACTAAAAACTGAGACTTTCTACCAAAAATTTGGCAGAGTCTCCCCTGTAAATTGAACATTTTCCAATTTCAACATGTTCAAAATTTACAGTTAAATACAACCAACTAGCAGCATGCTTTACAAGCAATGAAATAATTTACAAACAAGGCCTCCATGCCTCACAAAATTTAAACCCTCAGCGGGCGATGGGCGATACAGAGCAGATCTACGGAATTCAAAATACAACCGAAGTATCGTTTAACTGAAAGGAAAAGGTACCAAGAGTCTCTACGAAGACTCAAATTCCAAGATGCACCCGGTCCGGCTAAACTGCAAAGCTCAGTCGCTACTGGCTGGGGGCGCAAAACA